CTTTAGAGAGCTCAAATACTCCATGTTGCCTATCTCAGTAGACTTGAATTCTGAAGCAATAGTGCAAATCTCCCAGATTAGTCATCTCAAATTTAGCAGAGAGATAAGTCTTACCAGATTAGTCATCTCAAATTTAGCAGAGAGATAAATCTTAATCTAGTTGATGAGCCACATCTTATTGGAGGCTAATCCACATATAAGGCTAAGAATAGAAATCCTTGGCCATCTCGATATATGTAGAGATTCTTATCAGTCTACACCTCCACCCAACCTCCTAGGTTTGTACATCCCAATCAGGAGCATCTCATCTACTACTTACACATGGTACACTAAGATTAATGGTTTTCTACCTCATTAGGCTTTACTTGTACTTCCTCCTGAAGATCACCGTTGAGATCATATTGAGCGCTACAAGGCATGCTTCATAGCTTATAGCTTCTCACAAATATAGGGAGTTGATTACTATGAGCTAAAAACCATTTGTCTTTTGATGGGCCTTGCAGTTGAGCTTGACCTAGAGCTCCATCAACTTGACACTACCATCAGCTTGGTATTTCTTTTTGAAGAGCCACTTGGCTGTAATTGCCTTCTTGCTAGGAGGGAGACCAACATCCAAGTTCCATTCATGATCAATGAGTCATACTCATCATGCATAGCCACTTGCCACTGTAAGGCATTAGGATTGGAATGAATAACTTGGTAGCCATGAGGCTTAGCAATGGAGCTCATGGCCTAGTAGAATGCATAGAGCTTGAGCAAATGACTCAAGAGCTTTGAGCATTTACTTGTTCATATGTCTTGAATGTGTAACAGCCTTAATCTCTTGATGAGGTGGTGGTGTCAAGAGAGGATCTAGAGGAGGCAAGCTAGAAGAGCCTCTAATCATGACTAGCAGCAAAGTTGGTGGGGAAGTCATGCCACTGCCAAGTGGAGGAGGTGTTGCTCCTCTTGGAACAAGCTAACTTTGAACTGCTTGTGCTTGTTGGATGAGCTCCTCATCCAAGACGAGGGACAAGTCCACCACATTAGAACTAGAGGAAGTTAACACTTTGAATATGGTGATAGAGTTCTTGCTCATTGAAAGAAACATCTTAAGTAACTATGAGCTTTTTGAGAGCAAGATCATGAAGGTGGTAAGTCTTAGAATGAGCATGATAGCCCATGAAGATGGTATTTTAGCTCCTAGGATCCAGCTTCTGCCAATTTGCATCTAGAATATGAATATATGTTATACAAATACTTAGCCTAGTAAAGAGTTCTCATCTCATTATGTTTTGCACTAGTTAGTAACAAGAACCCTTATGTATTAAAACTAATCCCTTAATATCATCAATGATAGCTTATTATATTTGCTAAACACCACCAAATCACTTCATATTGTAAGCAACCAAAGGGAACGACTTGAGAGACGATCCATAGGGTTCAAATATAGAGGGAAAGGGCCCATGAACAAGAGTGCACCCCCTTTTCCAATCGGTTAAGGGTCTTGGGATATTTGGGGTTAAGCATCCTTGGGTTTGAATAGTACTGGGCTGGGTGACCTCCCGGGAAGTCCAAACTCAGGAGCGTTACACATATATCCATCTATGTTCACTTTAGCATTAGACTCCCCACTGGTTATATTATCATCCATCATGTGAGTGTGGTTTTCTTCCATCTTACAAGGATTTGCCAAACTTCTTAGGGTTTGGGAGAAGACTACTTTGGGCTTTCACCCTTAGATTAATCTTAAACTCAAACTTAGACTGGGTCTTGGATTTAGTCTTAGATTTGGTCTCAGATTGACTCAAACTCAGTCTCGGACTTAAAGTCAAAGTCAAACTCAATCTCAAACTCAATCTTGGACCTAATTTTGGACTTTATCTCGAACTTGATCTTAAACTCCCATCTCAAGCTTTATCTTGGGTTCTATCTCAAACCAAATTTTGGACCATAAAAAGGAAGAGGAGTGGTCTTCTTCCTTAGTGAATAAAGGTATAGTTATATAGTGAAGATGTCCTAAAGGTTAGTAGAATTTAGTGGATGGGCCTTTGGGCTTTAGTCTAGTGGTGGTATTTGTGAACATTACTATGGACAAAAAGGGATTTAATGGAAATTAAAAAAAGGAATTGGGGATGGTGTTCCTTATATCTTAAGGTATTTTAAAGATGCTAAAGTGTGGTCATGGGATGACCACTCATGGATGGATGATTTAATCTTGGAAAGATGGGATTGTGATACATGTGATCTTGGATTACCAATGAGATCACAAAAAAAAATATAACCTTAGCATAAAAGGTTGGTACATTAATAGTACTTTTAGGTGTCTGAAGTGGGACTAAACATGTAAAGTAAGTGTGAAGTTGGTGTGGTTATGAAAACACATCTAAACACTAGTAAATACCCTAAATGATTAAAGTAAAATAAAAAGTTTAGTTGCTTACAGACCAATCTTTAATTTCCTGTTGCTTATAGCCAAGACCACAAACATGTTATTGTGCCATAAAAACCTTAGGAGATCTCTTACACTACATAGAAGGTAAGTAACTCTAAATTCTCCTAACTCCTCTTTCCAATATTTTCTTCCTGATAAGCATAATCTTGTTTTACAAATCCAAGCAAGAACACGAGGAAAGACCTACCATCTTGAAATTTAGAGTTTCATTCATGAAAAATTTAACTTCTACATTAAAAACATATAGGCTCATTCATGTTAAATCCTATTAAATTTAACTCTGTAAAATATAGATTGTTGATATTAGTTAAATCAAAGTTGTAGATCTTAACATGATCTGAATTGTCCTATATTTAACTGGTGATGTCTCTACTATGATTGGTTTTGATTAGTGTATTTAAGTTAAATTCCTTGTAACTCCTCTCTTGCTCCAATCCTGCAATAATTGCCAGAAGTGTTGGTCCTACCGTACTCTCCATTGGGAATCTCATTTCCCCAGGCTTGTGGACATGATCTGCCCCCAGTAGAGGCTGGTAGATAACCAAATAAAAACTTGCATCGTAGCAAGAAATTCCTTGAATTCAAGAAAGGCTTGCCACTTAGAATCAAGAAGAACAAATAGAAGTTTTGACCAAAATCATTCCATACTTTTTTGAAATCTGTCTGGGGCAGCTGCAAGAATTTCACCATATTGGTGCCAGTGATCCCTATTTGTGGCAAGAATATATTGTTAAAATGAATAGAAAAAGCCAATGCCACCACCCATCACCAAGTCATGTCATTAGAGAATGTAATAGGGAAAGTTATGTCTTCGTCCAGTGCTTGAATGGATATGATTATTGAAGGTTTTTGTCTTGATAGATTCTATAAATACATCATGCATATAAGAAGCTTGTACAACACTGCAATTATATTTTACAATTCATAATCAGCCACTGTATATTGCAAATAATATTATAAAGAATACACACCAATCCAAAAAATACAAACACATCAAGATTAACTAGAATAAGATGAATATATAAATTGCAAATATGCACCGAAAACCAAGAACAAAAACATAAAATAATTTGAAAATCAATTACAAAGACATGTACAAAATAATTTAGGATATTCAGGAGACTTCAATATTGATTACAGTCAAAAAAGGATTAAAAGAACTCATGGAAAAAGAAGGATATACCCAACAAATAGAAATAAAAAATTATACAAAAAAACATAAATTACATTAAAATACATTAGCACAACTCAGCAAATAATAATATAAGTCTCATATCGTTAACATACTTGCTCTCAACCTCTTGTCACAAGGAGTTGGCATCTAAAACATTTATATTCAAATTACCGCCCAAATGGATAACGTCTCAGATGCTTCCCCTGGATTAACAGGATCACAACAGGTAATGTGGATGTGGAAGCATATTCTTTAGAAGATCTTAGCTCCTCCAGTGGTGTGTCGAGCAAATACCCAGTGCTGACAACTGGGTCGCTCTTCCTATAGTTACATACTGAGGCTGCTGGGCATCTGAAATGCCAAAACGTAGACTATCTATACATTGTTCCTGATTTGATTGGTTCCAGCCATTGAGCAAGGAACTGATGAGATTGCTTCTGCCACTTTCGTTTTGTTACGCCCTGGAACACATCATGACCATTTCCTCTTCCACTGTCGCCGTTTCCTTGACATACGGTCAAAAGTTTTGTGGTTTTGCTTTTAGTTCGTGAAGATTGATAGGATTTTCAAGTTTTTGGCAGCGCTGGAGCCATCTACATCATAGTTTCTTCTAGGATAATCAGTTCCTTTTGCCCTCTGGCTTAGCTTGATACCTGTAGTTGCTGGTAAACATATGCTCTAAAGTTGTAAATTTCTTGCGTTCTCAAGCTTGGTCTTTCAGGTGTTGCTCTAGCATTGCATCGCATACAGAGGTTTCAATTCTCGCGTGCCATGACATCTAATGCACTGAAACAATGTTTCCAAGGAGGCTATGGTATTTTTTAACATATTCATATCTGATGAAGCTCTTTGTTTTTTTTTTTCTGTCCAGGAAACACAGCACTAATCTTTTACGTTTACATATCTTTGATCGCTCTACATGTGCATACTACCAAGTAGCATTCATTTAATCCACAAGCTTTTAGTGGATCAATGCTTTTTATCTACGGATAGAAGGTCCAAGCCTTGTCAAGCACGGGCTTGCTTCCCCAGTTGCATTCGCAAGTTCGTAGCAGATCTAGTTCTGGTCAGAGTTTTCTATCATCTGTCTGATCAGGTTTGTGCTTTCTCGTTGGGATTCTTTTATCTTCTAACAGGTTGGCCACAACACTCTGGAACGAGTAGCACCTTTGTCACACGCAGTAGGAAATGTACTAAAGCGAGTCGTAGTCATCGTATTTTTTATACTTGTTTTGGAAAGCTTTCCAGTGATCAGATTGATGATACAAGTGAGTTTCTTTGTCTGTCTCTACCTAGGAAGTCGAATTACAAGACAAAACTGCTGTAGGCACGACGATGGCAATCGCTGGAGTTGCGTTCTAGTCTCTTGCAAAAGCTAAACGAAACAAAGAGCTATTTTGAATCAGAAGCCAAACTTGGTATCTTAGCAGTAATCAAATTTGCAAGAAGCATGTAACTTACAGGCTCGCTCCTCTCACTTTTAAACTCATTCATCGCCACCTTTGCTCCTCTCTCCAAATCCCTATGAACTCTACAAGCATTGAGCAATCCACCGCAGCCACGCTCATCTGGAACGAATGGCATTGTCTTGATGAGCTCCTCGGCGTCTCTCACCAGTCCAGATCTCCCGAGAACGTCCGCCACACACGAGTAGTGCTCGTGTGATGGATCCACGCCAAAGTCCTTCTTCATTGCCAGGAACAAGTTCCACGCCTCGGCAAATCTCCCCGCATGACTGCAGCTCCCAAGAACGCTCGCGATGGTCGACGCATCGCACGGGATCCCCTCGAGGATCATCGCCCAGAAGGAGGAAATCGCGCGCTCGTCCTTGCCGTTGCGTCTATACGCCGCGATCATGGCGTTCCACGCCACAGGAGAGCTCCTGATTGGCATAGCCGCGAAGAAACCCGCCGCGTGATCCACATGCCCGTGCTGGGCATACGCCGAGAGCATCGCGTTCCATGATGAGGAGCTTCGCCACGCCATGGATTGAAACTCCGCAATGGCGTCGCCCATCTGGCCGTGCTGCGCGTAGACCTGGAGCATCGCATTATGGGCAATGGTGTCGCGATCACCCATCTCGCGGAAGATCATCTCAGCCTCGCATAGATGCCCATCCCGGGCATACGCCTGGAATAGCGCTGTTGCTCCCACCACGCTCTTCTCGCCAGGCATAGCTTCCAGGAGCAGCGCCGCCTCCTCGAGCCGCCGCCGCTCCGCAAGCGCCACCACCATTGATCCCCACGACATGGTGTTGTGCTCGGGCATGGAATCAAACACGCGCTTGGCCGAGTCGAGATCGCCACCGCGGGAGAATGCCTGGAGCGCCGCCGTGGAGCTGATGAGATCCCTCTCGGGCATCGACTCGAAGAGCTCGCGGACGCGATCGATGCGCTGCTGCTTGGAGTAGGCCTGGATCATCACAGTCCAGGAGAGCAAATTCCTCGCGGGCATAAATAAGAACAGCATCTCGGCCTCGTCGCCACGGCCGTGGCTCGTGAGCGCCGACACCATGGCGGTGATGGAGACCACGTTGTGGGCCGGGAACGTCTGAAAGAAATCAAGGGCCTGATCGATCCGGGAGTTTTGGGTGTAGCCCTGGAGCATTGCCGTCCACGAAGCTATGGTTTTCTTCTCGATCGGCATTGCGTCAAACACCGTCCTGGCTTCGTTCAGATGCCCGTTTCTGGCATATGCTGTTATCATCCCGGTCCAGGTGATTTCACTCTTTTCTGGCACTCGATCAAACAAAATTTTGGCTTCCTCCATCTCGCCAAGCTGCGCATAGGCAGTGATCATTTCATTCCATGCGACTGGATCGGGGGAATGAGATCGATCAAAGAGGTTACGCGCTTCATCTAGATGCCCGTTTCGGGCATATGCTTGGATCATGATGTTCCATGAGAAGAGATTGGGGTGATCGATCGCGGAGAAGACACGGCGCGCATCTCCGACACTGCCGCATTTTCCGTAAGCCTGGATGATGAGATTGAGGAGAAACTTGTCTTTGGAGTAGCCGCTGTCCACTATCCGGGAGTGGATCTTCCGGGTTTGATCGAGATCGCCAGAGCCTCCAGACTGGCTCAGGAGCGTCGCAAAGAAGGATTGCTGCGATCCCACGATGTTGCTCGATGCTTCCAACATCTAATGATCGCTATATATTAGTCGAGATCTCTCTCTCCTGATAAAATATGTTAATTCCCATTAACATAGAAAAACTCGTTTTATCCAATGCACTAACGGAACCATGTATCGACGTTAACTCTTGGCCACTCAGTGGACAACACTTGCATTCCTTCGACGTCTGTGCCAGCTTTTGTATGAGTCTGTGCTCCTCGGCCTTTATCTACGGGAGCTTGGCCTTTGTTTTTCTCATTCTTTTTCTCCTGGTTTGGATCTATAGGCTCTCTTAGTATAGAAATGGCTCCTTCTCGCAAGCTTGTGCTCGGAGCCCTGCTCTCATGCCTGCTCATCACTGCCGCTTTTGCTACTAGTGGAAACAAAGGTAGAGAGAGCACATATAGATCTCATTTCTCCGTTACCTTCCTCCACAATCTCGTTTCTCACTGTTTTGAGTTGGATTTACAGATGCAAGCTTGCCGGCTGCACAGGGCCAGGTTGAGAAATCTTCTTCTAAGTTTCCTTTTCCTTTCCTGTTATAAGAAGTTCTCTCTCTTTCTTCCAGGCTCTCAAAGGCAGGAAGCTCCTTGGAGAGGTCCATACCAGCGACTATGACGCTCCAGGGGCAAATAGGAACCCACACTACGGCGCGCCCCCGCCCCTTGGAGAGATCAGCGACTATGGCGGTCCAGGCGCGAACATGAACCCACACTACGCACCCCCGCCGCTGATGGGATAGATCTTTGTTTCTGTGTGTTCTTCCATGTTTTCGTGTAGGAGCTATACCCTCTACACGGCTACCACGTTTGTTGTTTTCTTTTGTTTGCTGTTGAGTCACCTCTAGACATCCATGTTTCAGCAAAAAAGCCGATCGCTGGAAGAATCTTTGCTATGATCCTTGTGAGTTTTGAGCCAGCATATCAGCTATAGTGGCATTTCTACGATCTCACTCCTCTAGAGCGCTCAATAATTTCATGACACTTGTAATGTGATATGTATGTGCCAGATAATATTGCTGATAATTATTATCACGCGGGGATAGCCCAGTTGAGAGAGCGTCAGACTGAAGATCTTAAGGCCGCGTGTTCCATCTACGCTCACCGCATTAGAAGTTTGTGAAGTCCAATGGTTTTCAGAAATTGAAACGAACTTCATACCATATCGACAATGCAGCCAGCATACTTGTGGGCTCGAAAAGCTCCCAATGCGAAAAGCCCAGGGTCAACCTTCCGTTTTGACGGTTCAGCTGCTCACGAGAGAATGGTTGATGCTGGTAGATCAGCATCATAGGCGTTCGTGCCGGCTATCTAAAGGAATTTGTTGCCCAACATAAAGTTTTGTTTAATCGGTTTATGAAGAATTTTGGTAAGTCTTAGCTCGAGAGGTGGAGCTTGACCATCCGTGAAAAAGGAGATGTGGTTGGGCTTGATCCCTTCGAGGAGCTGGCGTCCTTGAATTCAATCTCCTGGAAGACGAGAGCTTGCATCGGGATTAGCTGCAAGAATGTGACGGAATTAGATCGAGAGGCATTTGCCGGGAGAACGCCAGAACTTACCCGTTTTGGGCAAATGCCGCAAAGAAAACATCTCCATCTTCCGTCTTGTGGAAGATTCCCAAGACGTATCCCCCGCGCCAGTACTTTCCATACATTTCCATGACGAGGTTCGTGAGGAAGCTATGACGATCGAGGCCGCAGGAGACAATTTTCTCGTCAATGCGCTTGCCCTCGCCCACAGATCTGTGTTTTTCTTACTTTCCATGCGACTAACTATCATGCATCGTAGAAGATGGGAGCTTCAAGCTCTCGATTGCTCATCCCTGACCCTGGGAGCTCGAGGCTGGGTTGGCCGGATCGCTTTCTCCGCCAACTCAATCGCTCGGGGATTGAAATCCAGAATGGCGCCTCTGGCAAGGAGCTAATTGGGTAAGGATCATTTCCTAGACTCGCCATAGCTATGGCGGTGGGAGGCCATGGCAGATCGAGGCAGGTTTGCGATTCTTTAAGCATCCCATGGCATCATCCATGGAAAGCAACTGTCTTGGTGAGGATGGCATTGGCAGCGGGGCTTCTAACGCGTAGGAAACAGCGCGCCACAACATACATTCAAACAAAACTAAACGAGATGTTTTAAATAAAATATATTACAGCCTTTTTAATGGTTTACGTTTTCTTTGCATAAAAAGGCTTTATCCTATATTCGGATACGCGTATCTTATACCGCCGACTTTATGTGCTTTACGCGGGAGGGATCCACTTCCTTCCGCGTAGAAACCCATTCTGCTGCTAACATTGACATGCCTGCGGGAATGTGTAGGAACTGAGTTTTATCGTGGCTGTTGGCAAACGCAACAAGTGCGGAAATGTCCTATTGCTCACAGAAAGAAAAGGCATGAGCCCGGAACTGGAGGAATTGGGCGACAATGCTTGGTGTTTTTGCCGATGCTGGTGTTGTGAAAGAGGCCATATCCGGATTTGGCACCAGAGAAGAAATGCGTGTGTTGCAATGACGCATTTGCCTCGGTTGGGTATTCTGGATATTTGGAAGACGCCCTATGCCACATGGTCAACAATTTTGATACGAAGGTCGACATGATTCCTGCCGGTTTTCCACAGTTAACGTTTCTGTTCGGGTTGAGCTAGGTCCTCGCTCTGTGATGTTTACGTGCACGATCTCCCCTCCAGGAAAAACGCAAGCGTGTTGTGTTCTCATGAGGCAGTCGGCCGATCTGCCCATGATTATCACGGCCTCATATCTTTCTTTGAGGATAATATCACACTGAGATGTTTGTGTGTGAGAAGGATTCATACCTGCACTTCTCTGAAACGCAAGTAAAAACAAAAAAAAAAAGAGATATGACACAAATGTGAGCTTTGATCAGCTTTTTTTTCCTGTAGAACCTTATCCTTGGCAATTTCTTTCTCGAGCCTCATCCAGAAATATATTCTCCACAAAGCCTCTCTCCCCGATCATTGCAAGTACATCTTGAAGAGGATCTCTAGAATCCAAGCATGGCCTTGTGTCTTTGATGATTCGATCAAGCTGCGCAAGTTTCAATTTTTATTTTTTTATTTTTTTCCTATTTCCTTGTAAAATTCAGCATCTCTGCAGACAGAAAAACACTCGATCAGGAAAGATTGATGGCATCGAATTGATCACAAGGATGCTAGACAGATCCATCGCCAAGTCCTGGATAAGGGCCCGTTACAAGGATAGAAACTAACGTTTAGGAGCTTTGCACCACTGCATCTCGTTTGTCCATCCAAGGCCGAGCCTCTGAGGCTTGGAGTACCACAACTGGATCCAAACTGGCCGCTCGATCATGGAGTTCGTTCGTTTGAAGCAGCGCATGCTGGCAACTGGTAGCACACGCAGTTAGAACGCGGCAAGCCCAAACCATGGCGTTCCAAAACACCAAGTCGAAGCTATAGAGCAAACACCTCCTCATTCTCCCTTGACTTCCAAAGAACAACTAATTGACAAGATCGTCCCTGAGAGCACAGAAACTCCATGCTGATTGTGTTGATCATGCCTGTGCTTATGCCGAACATGACACTGCCTGGGATTTCCACAGCGACCAATGACGACGTCCCATTTGATTCCATCCCTCACGAGACAAGCATGAATACTCAGGAGTGTACGTAAATCTGTCAAGGCATCCTCTAGTAAGTCGCAAATGCCTCTTTGCATAGCCCGCACTGGGCATAAGCGTCGTTCATCGCGGTCCAAGCCACCAGATCTCTCTGCCCAAACTTCTTGTAACTCATTCAGAACTCGTTTCTTACTGTTTTGAGTTGGTTTGCAGATGCGAGCTTGCTGGCCTCACAGGGCCAGGTTGATAATCTTCTCCTACGTTTCACATTTTCTGTTGTTAACTTTCAGTTCTTCTCCTTCTCCTTCTTCTTCTTCTCTCTCTGTCTCGCTCTTTTTTCTTCCAGGCTCTCAACGGCAGGAAGCTCCTTGGAGAGGTCCACACCAGCGACTATGACGGCCCAGGGGCAAACAGGAACCCACACTACGGCGCGCCCCCTCCCCTTAGAGAGATCAGCGACTATGGCGGTCCAGGCGCGAACATGAACCCACACTATGCGCCACCGCCACTGATGGGATAGATCTTTGTTTGTAATGTGTTCTTCCATGTTTTCGAGTAGGATCCATAGCCTCTACATGGCTATCAAGTTTGTTATTTGCTATTGTTTGATGTTGAGGTGACTAGAGAATAAAGTGCTCAAGGGGCATCCATTTCCATTGCCAATGGCAATGATTTTGGCCTTTATTAGGGCTGTTTTATTGTCATAAAGTAGCATAGCCACAAGTCCACCTTTACCAAAATTTAACTTGTATTCGGAATCTCCCTTAACCTCATAAACAGCTTTTGGGCATACTGCTTAGCCAGATCCTCGGCAGAGGCTACAACTTTCGCTCTGTAGAACGACGCATAACTAACAAGATAACCAAATGAGTATGTAGAGTGGCAAATTGGAATTTACCTTCTTATTGAGATCTGCCGGTTTTTCCAAGGTCTTCTTACTGGATCGATCCGAGTGTTTTGTACCCGTGGAGCATCGCCAGATATAGTCTTCTTCTCGAGTCCGGGTAGGGTACATGCTGTTTACATTCCGGTCCAAAGAAATGCCTTCATTTCCGGCATTTGATTATACCACCTGGGTCTGCGGTTTTTCGAGAAGAGCTTGGGGCGAGCTTGAGCAAATGAAGACACAGTCTTTGAAGACCTTGCATTGACTATAATTGACCCTGCATTGACTTTTGAGCTCGTGAGCTCGGTCCGGCCTCGCACTTGCATCACGAGGTCTAAGAGAAAGAGACAATAAAGAAGAAGAAGCGCAAGCGGCATTGATGCATAGAGCAGCTTTAAGCAACAAAAGACCGAGCACCCAAAGCAGCGGTGAATCTCAAACGGGAACACTATGGACGCATCGAGCTTTTCGACTCCACTATCAAACCGGGAGGATCCAACTCATAAGTTGAACTCAAATTTTCCTCCTCTGGCGAAACTCTAGACGCAAACATATCCAAATGATAAAATCAAATTTATGATGAAGAAACGACGAACTGTGATGATCCCTTGATATCTGCCAGTTTTTCCAAGGTAAGGAATTCTCAACGTTTCCGATCGGGTTCTAGACGGGGAAAGAGACGCTTCCCTTCTTCCTGGAGGGGAGATCGTGTTAGTACCTTAAAAAAGACGCTGTCAACTTCTCCTAAGCTCCAAGTCAGTCGACGGATGGTGTCAGAAGATGGTACCGGCAGACAGGCTCGAAGCTCTCTCAGAGGGTGCTCGGTGGATCGCCACTCACGGGAAACGTCTTACTCTGGCTTGCTCTGGATGTCCTTCAGACTTTGCGATAAAGCTGGACGAGGCCATAGCAAAGTTGGCACTTCCTACGGGACCCTTGGATTGAATTCTTATACAACTGGAAGAAACAAGCGTACAACAAAATAGCTGATATGCTTTCTCCGGTTATGGTCACACCCACGAACTTTGAGCGTTCTAACTGATTCTATGCTCCTCCTCCAGCCTGGCAGTCACCGCTTGCTCGTCCTCCTTGCTTGTTCACGACATCTAGCAAAATAAACAAACATTAGAAATTTCTTGCTCCATCGCAAAAGTTGCAGGTATGAATCCTTCTCACACACAAACATCTCAGTGATATTATCTTCAAACAAAGATATGAGGCCATGATGATCATGGCCGACTGGAGCTTGTGGTTTTAGAGCTTGATATGTTTGCAAGCTTGAGAATAGTGGAAGGATACGCCAAGAGCTGGGATGGATAGAAGAACATTTGCGAAAATGTTTCCCACCTTTCTTGCAAAAGCCCCTGGCTTGATCCTTTCGAAGAATGTAAGTTCCTCCCCACAAATGTGTTTTGTTCACCACCTTCACACAAAAAAGCACCCAAGTTAAAAAGCCAGAAAGAAGATATATGACACAAATGTACCTTGTGGGGTAATGTGAATCATATCGAGCATTGATCACTTTTTTGTTCTGTAGAACCTGATCTTTGCCATTTTCTTTCTCGAGCCTCCTCGTTCAGAAATATGTTCTCCACAAAACCTCTCTCGATCATCGCAAGTACACCTTAAATCTCTGGAGTCCAAGCATGGCCTTGTGTCTTTGATGATTCGATCAAGCTGCGCGAAGTTTCGAATGAAAATCTCGCCACCATTTCCTATGCTCAAAGCGAGAGAAAACGCATCCATGCAGAAAGAAAAAGGCTCGATCAGAAAGGATCGGTGGCAATGAACAGAATAGATTGATCGCAAGGACGCTAGACCGCAAGATACATGGCGATATTGCATTCGAGGAATCGGGCATCTAGCCTGCACGGATCTATCTTGCAGTAGCTACCGATAGATCAAGGGCACAGGAAGGAAGATCAGAAATATCCAGATTTTCCAGCCCACAAGAAGAGCAGGCCGATTGGAAGTGGAAGAATTTGAATAGAAAATTTTTTATACCACGCAATCTTGGAGGCCATCTCATTTTCCATCGCTCCGGCCGTGCTTGGCGTAATTCGTGATCATGGCAGTCCACGAGACGATGAAAGAACTCTCCCGGCCTACATGTGTACATGTATTGGCCACCATCCACGATACCCCGACGAGCGGCTGAGGCGCATACTGGGCATACAACAGAAAGGATCTGGAGGAGAGCAGGCAGCATAAAGCTGCTCGCTCGAAACCTTGTTGTCATGATCCTTAGGTCCTGGAGGATTGCAGTCCACAGCCCCCATCTCTGGATTCCTAAATGCAGTGGTGCGCTGGATCTTTTCTACGTCGCCCAGATTGTCATAGCAGGAGAGAAGGGTTGTGTACGTGAATTTGTAAGCATCCTCTCGTAAATCGCAAATGCCTTTCTTTGCATAGCCCACACTAGGCATAAGCGTCTTTCATCGCATTCCAAGCCACCATATTTCTCTGGCCCAACTTCTTAAGACTCTCGCCAGCCAATCGAGCCTCCTGGAGCGATCCATACATTCTCAGAAGGTCTCTAGCAATCTGCAAAGGTCAGGATCGATCAAGCAAGGTTCCAGCCTCAAGTAAGACCTCACTAGGCTAAGATCACCAAGAGAATTAAATCCCTAGAGAAGATGTTCGGCCCGAGCGTCGTTGGCGCTGCCACATTTGCCATACAACTCCACGAGCAGATTATCTGCTTTAGGGCTGACTGGCTTATTAACCTTTTACTTAACTCTCTGAAGATATTTCAATCTCTTTGTTAACTCGAAATATGGATATGGAACTAGTTTTAGATGTGATAGCTCTTGTTCAAGAGATTGGGATCCATTATATAAACTTTGGCCTCCAACACTTCTACAGATCCATCAGCTGTGATGGCTTCTTGTTCTGGAACTGCTCTTGCAATCTTTGCTCTTTTGTTTAACATTGTGCTGCTTTCTCAGGCACGAGCAACCAACGCCAAAGTCGAGCTCGTCGATCTGTCCAACCGCAGTCTTCACCTTTGCAGATTCTCTCAGCGATGGCGGCAACCGCGACATTGAAGCCGGTGGCGGCAAGACCCTATCGGGCAGGTACCCATACGGGATCACCTACGGGAAGCCCACTGGACGCTACTGCGACGGGCTCGTCATCCCCGACCTCCTGCTCCAGAAGCTCCGCCTCGACAACCTTGGAACTCCCAGCCTCAAGTACAATGGCACCGAGTTCGAGAGCCTCAACTTTGGATACGCCGGAGCCACGGTGATCAAGGTCGAGAACCAGCCATACTCGAGCCCATGTCTTTTCCGCCCAGGTTGACGACTTCGTGCGCCACCAGGAGTTTGTCGTGGGTCGATATGGTCGCCAGGCGAGCAAACCATGGTACGAGAATGCACTCTACTCGGTCGAGATTGGAGGGGACGATATCAACTTTGGTTTGCCACTGGGAGGCGGCTACGTGATCAACGTCACCATCCCGGCCGTGATCCAAGGCCTGGCCGATGGAATTCAGAAGCTATATGCTCACGGAGCTCGTCATGTTGTGCTCTACAACATGCCCTGTGCCGATTGCTCTCCAAACTATCTCCAATCTTTCCAACAGTACCCCGCTGGTACATTCCACTATGAAAAGGATGGTTGCATTGTTGAGATTGCCCAGATTATCTCCTACTTCAACACCAACATCCAGAGGCTGACGGAGGAGCTGACGCAAAAATACCAGGGTCTCACTGTGTATTATTTCGATTGGTTTGCAGCAAACACCTATGTTTTGGAGAATATGAAAGAGTTTGGCTTCACGAACTCGCTCCAGTCATGCTGCGGTGGAGGTGGCAAGTTTAACTGTGATGGTGAGGGTCTTTGCGGGTGTGCTCCACTGAACCAGACCAATGCTGTTTACACGGTGTGTAAGGATCCCAGCAAGTATTTCACTTTTGATGGCATTCACACAGAGCACTTTTACGAGATCATGTCCGAATATATCATGGCTGGAGAGTACATCACACCAAAGGTGAAGCTGGAAATGGGTTGCAAGATCGTCACTGTACCAGAAAGTCCTCTTTGAAACAAAGGAGTAACCAAGTTCATGTAATTCACACAAACTCGCTCTTCTAATTTAACCCATATTCAAGCATTGCCTTTTTGATTACGTAAATCGGAACAAGCTCCGCAAATCTCCCCTCTCAAGAACGGTCACGATGGTTGAAGGGAATCTCCTCGAGGATCAGCCCGCTCACCCTTGCCTTGCGATCGCCCATCTCGCCTCAGCCTAGCGCGTCACCTCCAGTGATCCCCGCGTTGTGCTCGGGCATGGAATCAAACACGCAATGCCTGGAACGCCGCCCTGGAGCTGATGAGATCCATCTCGGGCATCGAATCGAAGAGCTGCTGCCTGGTCCAGGATAGCACGCAGAGATAAGAACAGGGTTTTCGTGCCCATATGGAACTTCTGGAAGAAATTGAGGGCCTGGAGTTTTGGATCGATCACTGTCCAGGACACCGTACCATATACAACATCCGGGGACATTGAGGCCTGATCGCCGTCCATGATGCTATGGACTTCTCTTTGCCTGGTTTCTCCTAGATGCCCATTTTGGGCAAATGCTGCAATCAGTCCGGTCCAAGTGATTTTACTCATTTCCGGCATTTTATAGACAGTAATAAACTTATTCTATGCGACTGGGATGAGGATATTGAAGAGGAGTTTATAGAGTAGCCGCTGTAGTGGTTTGATCGAAATCGCCGGAGCCCCCAACCTCTCATTGTAGAGGTAAGCTTTACATTTTAACTAAATCATATTGAAATTATTGTCTAAAACCATCCAAGCTCAGTTTGGGAGAGCGTCAGACTGGATCTGAAGGCCGCGTGTTCGATCCACGCTCACCGCATTATCTTTGATTCGTTGGTAGCTGGTGTGGAGGAGCTTCCTGATCTTTCGAGCCTGAAGAAAAAAGAAAACGAAGAAACATAAAAAATGAGAGAAAATATTTTGTCTAGCCAAGGTCGTCCTTTGCAGCCACCAAGCTCACATCTGCAAGTCCACAACTCAAAACGATGAGAAACCATGGTTTTATGTTCCTGGGCTATAACGGGCCCGCAGGCAGCCTGGTGACATATGTGGCAAAGATTGCTCTGGATCTAGTTTTCCACGATCCATCCAGCAAGGGGGACAGCGACTCACGGATTCAAGCTGCTCCTTGCATTTGTTCTGTGCTTGGTCTACTGGAGCTGAGAAAGCTCAAGCAACAATTGGATTTTCATCAAGACCAGTCAGTAACTACTTTTGCGCTTGAGTAGAGGGAATAGGCGAAAAGGTTTTTCATTGACGCCCGAAAGGTACGGACTGAAACGATAACAACATTTGCCCGAAACGGGCAACTCGAAGAAGTGTTTCACGCGCGCTGCTCCTGGTGAGTAGCAAGCAGCTCGAATCGTGTTTTGGTTCGATATTTTATCTTTTTTGCGGCGGAGAGATTTCGTGCGGATCGGATGTGAGTCCCAATGCGGCATTGGAGCTGCTCCAGTGCCAAGCTTACTTGGTTCTAAAATGTCTCGCCCAGGCTCAGCTCATCTTCTAGCAGCTCAGAAGAATTTGCTAGTCTCGGAATGGATGACCTCTTCTTCCTGCAGGAGTGAAGAAAGGAGTTCTTCCTTCTGACGTAAGTGATTGATATGACTTGATTTTTACCCGATGTCACTAGTTGACAACAGGGTTCTAGCTGCAATCGTCCAGGTGCTACAGCAATGTTGGCCTCATGTTATCATCACTAGTCGTTTGGCCGATGTTGCGCTTTCCTGGGCGGATGATAAGAAACTAGTTTTGGCAACCCATCTGTGACGAATGTTTTCGAGCTTGGCTGGATCTGGAGCTTGCTCAAGGTGCAGTCGCTGCTCTGACTCCCTGGGGTGAAGTGTTTGTCTCCTTGGGGCATGGTAGGCTGCGAGCACTGGAAGGATAGTGGGGGATGCGAGTGTTGGGCAGCTGCATTTGGAAGCCTGATCACCACCATGCCACGGCTTTCCACCTGGAGTGGTCATTTGTCGCGAACATAACCTATTGTAAATGTGAAACATGTTAATATTCAGGGGAATATGCCAACAAGCTGAAGAGTCAACGGTCGCGACAGTTAGACTGAGATAGATTATAACAGCGTGTTATCAATTCAATCTCTAGTTGAGTCGATTCGTTTCATGGTATCGGAGCTCAGATTCTGATCAAGACGAGTTTCCCGCAGCAGCATGTCTCCGTCGTCGTCGCAAGTGCTCGAAGTCTACGATGGCAAAGATTTTCCGTCGTGGAAACTTCAGATGCAACTCTACTTCCTGGAAAAGGATCTGTGGAATGTGGTGAGGGGAAAGGAACGGCAACCTCCATCACCAGTCCGGCAGACCAAGAAGAAAGCGAAGGAGGGTGAAAAAGAAACAAAGGATGAGGATCCGGTGGACACCTTGAAAGCAGAGCGCAAGGATTGGGATGCCAAGAACGACGAGGCGTTGGGCATCTTAGGTCGCGCTCTGGCAAAAAGATACAGGAGCCACCTGAACATGGAGGATACAGCGAAGGCGAATTGGGAGAAGATCTGCCAGGTTTTTGGCACATGCACCAGGGCACGGTTGATCGATCTGAAAACCCAGTTCAACGGGTGTCAATAGGGCAGTAGTTCAGTAAATGACTATGCCAGTCGCCTTATGGGCCTTGCACAGCAGATCACTGACGCTCAGGAGAATCCGGTCGGTGACGACGAGCTCACATCAGCGCTGTTCAAGGGACTCTCCACAACCTTACTCGTTTCTGGAGCCCATCTCATGAATTCTCACCTCACCTTTGAGGAGATTGTTGCAGAACTCTCAGCTCTTGAGAACTTCCTCAGCCCCGAGGAAAAGAACAAGGAGGAGAAGGTAGAACTTGCTCTGTTCACAGCAAACGGCAAGCGGTCAACCACAGTGTGGGATCGGCTGGGCCCAGTGAATAAGGTGGACAAAGGCGGCACCAGCAAGAGCAAGCGCAACAAACGTGATGACAGATGCAACGCATGCAAAGCACCAGGTCATTTTGCCAGAGACTGCACTCATGCTGAGGCAAAGAAGGCATGGCAGGCCAGGAAGGATGCGATGGCGAAGAAAGGCAAGAAGAAGCAGGTGGCAAACTATGCAAAATCTGCTCATTCGAAGAGAGAGGCAGCAACTTCAGATGAGGAAGATGAAGATGAAGCTGAGTGCCATGACAGTCTGTTCATGGCAAGGAGGGTGAGTGCAGAGAAGCACTAGAGTCACCAGCCGACACAGCCCGATCGAGTGAGTACAGTCAGTACCACAGCAGCAGAGGTTGTGTGGGTCGACTCCGGAGCAAACCAGCACATGACACACGTCCGAGAGCTGTTCTCCAAGCTGCTACCAGTCAAGGACCAGAGGATTTACCTAGGCGATGACTACTCTCATGAAGTGAAAGGTGTGGGGACAACTCAGGTGCAGCTAGCATCTGGACAAGTGGTTCCCATTCACAACGTGTACTACGTTCCTGGAGTCCCGAAGATGCTGTTCTCAGTCGGGAAGATCGCTGATCATGGCCTTAAAGTCGAGTTTGACAACAATGGCTGCAGGATCAAAGGATCAGATGACAAGATGCTGGCCAGTGGACGTAGGTACTCGGGCCTTTACAGGCTGAATGCAGAAGTGATCCAGCCACAGCGGTTGTGCTACGCCGGTGCCCAGAAGGCAGTCGACACTGCGACTTGGCACAGGAGATTGGGTCACACCAACCAGCAGGCGTTGAAGCAGCTAAGCAAGCAGGAGCTGGTGATCGGCCTCCGCATAACTCCTCCAGCAGGTGGCAGCTCGTTTTGCGAGCCGTGTGCACTGGGTAAAGCTCACAAGCTCCCTCATCCAACTGCATCCACTAACCGAGCTAAGGGAATCCTGGACTTGGTTCACTCTGATGTTGGCACGATGCCGAATATGTCCAGAGACGGGAAACAGTACTTTGTCACGTTCGTGGACGATTTTTCTCGCATCGTGGCCATCAAGTTCCTGAGGAAGAAATCAGAGGTGTTCCAGAAGTTCAAGGACTACAAAGCTCAGGTGGAGCTCCAGACAGGAAAGCTGATCAAGGCATTCAGGAGCGATGGCGGTGGCGAGTTTGTGTCGAGAGAATTTGATGAGTTTTGTAGTTCAGCTGGAATACAACGTCAATTCTCCATCCCAGACACTCAGCAGCAAAACGGTGTAGCAGAGAGGATGAACAGGACGCTGCAAGATGTAGCAAGAACCCTACTGGAAGACTCAGGCCTTCCAAAGTTTTTTTGGTGTGAGGCGATGGAGACCGCCGGTTATCTAAGGAACAGACAGCTCACTGTTGCAGTTTCGGGTCAAACTCCCTATCAAGCTTGGTATGGGAGTAAACCAGACATCAGCCATCTGCGAGTGTTCGGGAGTGTCTGCTACGCTCATGTAAAGCGACATCATCGCAGCAAGCTTGAAAGAACCAGTCAGAAGTGTGTTCTCGTCGGCTACTCCGAACAAATGAAAGGCTACAAGTTGTTCAACCTGGAGACTCAGAAGTTGATCGTGGCCAGAGATGTCATCTTCGATGAGACCAGAACTTACGGCACTCGGGCCCTCCCACCACCGCCAACTTTGGTATCGCCCGAGGTTACCTCGGACTCGGATAACTCGGATGAAGAAGTTAGGGCAGCGAGTTATGGGAGAACGAGGAGCGGACGCCAGCCAGGTACGCAGGGTTCAGCCACAGGGCATGGAGCCGGTGGGAGCCAGCGTGATCTGGGGCCAGGTTCAGCAATCGGAGCTGGAGTTAGTGAGCCTCCAGCTGCAGGTGGCGGTAATCCGATCTCACCAGCGGGTGGGAGTCAGGCCGATCAGGGGGGGAGCTCTCAAGCGAGTGATCAGGCAGTGGGTCTTGATCAGCAGGCTTCAGATGGCAGAGAGGTTGCCGTTTCAGCTCCACCGTTACGTCAATCCACTCGAGTAACAAAGCTCACAGAGGCAGGGCACCAGTACCAGGAGCAGCGTGATCTTGCTGTTGCCAAGCGTGAGTCCAGAGCAGAGGCTAAGGCAGTGAGAGAAAGAGCAGCATCGGCTCCTCAAGCTCCCTCAGGCTCTGGTGAGTCGTTTTACTTTGCTTCCAGCGAGGAGGCAGGTGCAGAACAGGAAGGGTCAACGTTCATGCTACTCTTCAGCCAAGGCAGAGATGCTTTGGTGCCTCAGACCTTGGAGGAAGCCTTAGCTGGTCCAGACGCATCCAAGTGGGAAGCCGCTCGTCAGGTGGAATACGATGCGTTGATGGCGAACCAGACGTGGGACTTAGTGAAGCTCCCACTAGGGCGGAAGGTAATCAAAACCAAGTTCCTCCTGCGAGTGAAGACGACTCCGGATGGCAGCACTCGACACAAAGTCCGATTTGTAGCTCGCGGATTTTCTCAGGTCGAAGGTGTGGATTTTTACGAGACTTTTTCACCAGTGGTGAAGCTCACCTCTATCCGACTGCTGCTCAATTTAGCTGCTCAGGAGGATATGGAGGTGGAGCACATGGACGTAACCACAGCATTCCTCAACGGTGACCTTGATGAGGAGGTCTATATCGAGCAGCCGGCAGGCTTTGTCAAGCCAGGCCAGGAGCACCTTGTGTGTCGTCTTAAAAAGGCCCTTTACGGGTTGAAGCAGTCACCCCGAGCGTGGTTCTCAAAGATGAACTCGTTTCTGCTGTCACTTGGCTTCACCAGCATGTCAGCAGACACCAACGTGTACCAGAAGCAAGTGGGAGGCAAGCTCATCATCCTAGCCCTTTATGTGGATGATTGTCTGCTGCTCAGCAAGAGCAAGCGGCTGATTCAGCAGCTGAAGCAGGACCTGAGCTCCAAATTCAAGATGGTGGACCTTGGACCAGTCAAGTACTGCCTCGGCATTGAGATCTTCCGTGACAGGGGGAGGAGTGTGCTTCAGATGTCACAAAAGAAGTACATTGACGAGCTGCTCGAGAAGTTCAAGCTTCAGGACGTCAGTGCGGCGTCAACACCAATGGAGGTGGGATTGCATCTTAGTCAGGAGATGTCTCCGGCCACAGAAGGTGACAAGCGAGCGATGGATCGGATTCCATACCGTCAGATGGTGGGCAGCCTGGTCTACCTGATGGTGTGTACTCGTCCGGACATTGCCTACTCAGTGGGAGTAGTGTCCCAGTTCTTGGCCAACCCCGGCTTCCAGCATTGGCAAGCCGTTAAGTGGATTTTCCGGTACCTGAAGAGCACCAGCGAGTTTGTGCTAAGCTATGAGCGCCAGACAAAGCACTCGTGGCTGCTGCTTCAGGGATACTCAGATGCAGATTGGGCTAGCGAAGTGGATCAGCAGCGATCAACTTCAGGTTATTTTTTTACTCTGGGCAGTGCAGCGGTTACATGGAACAGCCAGCAACAGCCAGTCATAGCATTGTCAAGCATTGAGGCAGAGTATATCGGCATCACTCAAGCAGCCAAGGAGTGCATTTGGCTGAGAACTTTGCTGGACGGGCTCAGCTATAAGCAGGAGGAAGCGACGAAGCTCTTCTGCGATAATCAAGGAGCCATAGCATTGGCGAAAAATCCGAAGTTCCATCGCAGGACCAAGCACATTCAGGTTCAGTTCCATTTTATACGTGAACAGGTTGCTCTGCAGACTGTGGAGCTGGTCTACTGCACTACCAAGGAGATGGTGGCGGATATCTTCACCAAAGCTCTTGCTCCAGCTCTGTTCCAGCAGCATGCACAGGCACTTAGAGTGCAGCCAAAGAACTGACGCAACGTCGACGTTCAGCTTGAGTGGGAGTGTTAATATTCAGGGGAATATGCCAACAAGCTGAAGAGTCAACGGTCGCGACAGTTAGACTGAGATAGATTATAACAGCGTGTTATCAATTCAATCTCTAGTTGAGTCGATTCGTTTCAAAACATAGATCTCAAAGGAGTCATATGAAACAAACCACCACTATCTAGCCATAACACCTTTAAAGCAGGCACTAGTGATGGGTGAAGAGCCATCATCAACAACAAATTGCTCTGAGTAAGCTCTGGGTGGCAGCTTTCTTTGCATGACATTAACACTCCATGTGTCCCATCTTCCTGCTTGGTGACAAATGACCACTCCAGGTGGCAAGTTATGGCATGGTGGTGAATAGACTTCTAAATGGACCTCTTAAAGACATTCATTATGTACACTTTGTCCATTGAGTAAGCCATGCTTCCAGCAAACTGTCGATCCTAATGACAGCCATCAGGTGGGGTGGTGGGAGGAGAATGTGGATCCAATTGCATTTGGTGTCAGCTGCTCCATTAGCTTCTTCCGGTATGTAATTGGTATGCCACTCTTGTTTGCACAGTCTTACCAGTCAGGAACAAACCCAAATAAAATGCTGGCTTTAATCGAATCTGTAAGGCATGAAACAGTGCAGAAACCTTGATTGCATGCCTGTGCACAACACTGCCACGGTGAGGAGCTCATTCCTAACACTTTCTTTTTAAGTTTGTTTAACAGTTGTGTTGGAATCAACATAGAACAGGTTTCCTTGAGACATCCTTCCATGACTGCCAACAAGAACAACATTCCATCCACAGTTGCAAGACGAAAGTATTGCTTCTAAGACATTCGAACATATTAAAGATCTGTACACATACAGTGCTGTGGCATTGAAGAGCTACGCCGTAGCTAAGATTTTAAAGCTTGGGAGTTTTAAGGTGCACGAGTCCACTGAGCAGAAAGCGCCCCAATGAAGTGGACATGGCAACGTTCCATTCGATCCCAGCCCTCACGACACAAGCGTGGATCTCTTCTCCATCGCCCAGATCGTCACAGCAAAGCGTCGTGTAGGTGCTCGTGTATCTCGCACTGTCGTCACCAGATTTTTCTGTTTCTTAAAAACTTCTCCAGCCAGCAGAGCTTCGATTCCTTAGAATCTCTGTGGCAATCTGCAGATCTCTGCTCAGGCCACACTCCTCAAGGAGCGCCTGAACAGGGTTGCCCTGCAGCAAGACCTCGCCAGCCTGAGGAACGCCACCTTAAGTGTCCTTGCTTCGCTCACTCCCTCCACCCCTCTTTTCTGCTAGCATAGGCCGTGATCAAGAGAAGACGTTCTTGCGCGCTCCACCAAAAGATTGCAGACCCTGCGGCCATGGAGTTTGCCTGCTTCGAGGGCACTGGATCTGCCACTTCTCCACACAAGAGCCCGTCGATCGCAATGCCCCTGCTTAGAAATTTTCAAAAGCCTAGTACGAGGACAGAATCCTTTCTTCCGCCAAGTTGTTGAGGCTGGATTGCCATTTGCTTGACTTGGGTGATTCTTTCCCGAGGCTAGTTATATTCTGAGCTTTTTGCGTGTTCAGCCGCCGGACCAACTTTTTGCAAGTTCCCCGACCTCCCCGGCAAACACGTCAAAGTTCTTCCTAGTGGATCATCCCCTTTGCACGTGTTAGATCGAGGAGTGAAGGCTTGAAAACGTGCCTTTGTGTGAGAAACTTGAGAAGGAACCTGAGCTCCTCCAGTTTCCTGTCACAGGTTGATTGCAAGTTGTTTATCCGCATTTTTAATCCTGGAACAAAGCTCGCAAGGTGAATCCTTGCGAAGAACATGAGAGCTTTGTAGAGGAAGAAAACCTTGTAGCTTGCCCAGCTCGACAAGCCTCCGGTTCTGGGTCCTGTGCTTCCAAATCCTCTTGACAAATGCGAGATCAAAAGATTGTGGAGGCTTATATAGAAAAGTTTGGAAGTGAGCTCAACTTACAACTACGCTGTCTTGCCTGTCCAAGAAGGTGACCAAAAATATTCACGGTTAGGCACATCGGCACCGTTGATCGCCGATCACATCTCAGCCGTCGGCAAAACGCCATCCCAGCCGTCGACATATAGTCGTTATGTGAAGCTAGGGTTTCTACTCATATCATTGCGCGAGAGGACGATGGTGCGCGAAGACGGTGAGTTCGAGGACGACGATTGTGCCGAGCTCCTCACGATCTACACGAGGGGCCAGAGGCTGGGGCGCCAGGGCCAGGCTTTCGTGCTCAAGGGTGCCACGAGCTATGCCGGGATGGAGTGGTCTTCTTGGCGGGCTTCGTGAGGGAGAGGAGCGGCGGGGCTTGCTACGGGACCATGATGATGGAGCTGTGCGGCCCTAGTCTGTGGCATCGATTGATCAAGGGAGGGCCGCTGGGCGAGAAGGTGGCCGCCAAGACCATCCAGCGTCTAGCGGAGGCGCTCAAGGGGATACATACCAGCGGCATCGTCCACCGGAATCTCAAGCCGAAGAACATCTTTGTCAAGCTGGACGCTCTTGCCGTGCACGATGGAGACTTTGGAGTGGCCACGGACGACCCCAAGGAGATGTCGCAGTACTGTGGAACCGGGAAGTATATGGCCCCGGGGACGACGAGCTGTAAGAGTGGTCATGGTGACTCAAGGTTGCAGAGCTTTTACACTACAGCCATCGACATGTGGGAGTTGCTGAGAGGCTACAAGCAATCCAGGGAGATCGAGTTGTTGCGAGCCGGGGAATTCCCGGATGGTTGTCCTCTCTCAGACGAGGTGGAGGATTTCATCTGCGGGATGCTGGCTGTGGAGCCGAGCGAGAGGTTGATGCTGGATGGTGTGCTGGATCATCCCTGGATCGTGGAGTATGGCAGCAGTAAGATCAAGAAGACGATTCACAGGAGGCGCTGTGGAGTGAAGAGGAGTGCTCCTGGTTTTAGTAGCAACTTAAGAAAGTTCGAGCAGCGTGAGTGAAAGCCAACTACATTATCGCTAACCCGTTTTCCTCCGTTACATGCCGCTCTTAAAATGTGTGACTGGTCAAACAAATCTCCATGATACAAAGAATCCTCTTCAGTCAACGCGTGTTTGTTGCTTTCATTTTGTTTCAGGTTAGTTTTCAGGTGGATTGAGCCCACATGCTGGAGCAGTATAAAGAGGTGAAATTCGGGCGCGAGTTAATTGTGCTCCTCCAAATGGGCCGCTGGCCCTGGGCGTGGCCAACTTCATTGTGGTCTTTGATTAAACGTCATCTGCAAGTAATAGTTTTTTGAATTTTTTTTAATACTTCACCTAAAATCTCAAAAGAGCTATGTGGCTGCATTTTGTCAGAGTGCTCCCAACGACGATATCTGACTAAGTGATAGTTAAACGGGCATTTGATGTGAAGATGCAACTTTAACAACTTGAAATCCTGGCCTGCTTGGCAGCAGCATTATTTGTCTTAGAGCTGTCTTTTTTAGAACCTTGGAAATTGAATTGTAAAGGTCTGTTTGTTTTGGGTTTGGTTGAATTTCTAGGCGTCACTCTCGCATCAGCATACCAGTACCACATTAAGTTTAAAGCCAGTGCCACATACCACCTCATCGACAGCAGATTCACCACTTCAGGCTTGCATACATTTGGATGTAATCACCGCAAGTATCTCAAAAGTAAAGGCTCCAGGGTGGTTGCATTGACACAGATTCTCCTATCCGCACTAGGAGCTTACGCAGCTTTGAACAGGAACGGCTTGTTCATCGACTTTCTTTGTAGAGAGAATGTTTTTACATGCAGGATCATCAATGGACGAAGCCTAATGTGCTTCTCGAATTTGTTTTTCACCTGCAATGAGTACTGTGCATTGTCTCTGTTCGGTCCTGCAATCAAAGTTCTGCTGCAATGAACTGGTGGGGCAAGTGGCAGCAGTACAGACAACCCCATTGGCTGTTTGCGGCTCCACTACTAGTGGTCGGATGGGCCAGCCGGATCAACATCGCAACTAAAGAAAATTCGAGTGCCTGAAGGCCCACACAATACATCTGGTCAGAATGCTGACTGGTGTGGCCTCTATATCAACCCCCGGGTATGCTCGGAAAGCAGCTAGGGATTTTCCATTGCATTGCACTCCTGAAGAATGGCACCACTAATCGCTTTTCTTATTCTTCTGGCTCAAATCCAGTGCTTGATGGGAGAGGTAAGTATTTTATTGAGTCTACAGCGGTCGGTAACTGGTGCCATCGTAGGTTTATATAGTCTACATGGGGAAGAAAACCGTTGAAGACCACGAACTGGTAACGAAATCCCATCACGAAACGCTGGCCAGTGTGTTGGGAAGTGAAGATTTGGCAAAACGTGCTATTTTGTACAGCTACCGGCATGGATTCAGCGGTTTCGCAGCAGATATGAATCCAGGGCATGCAAAAGCTTTGTCCAGTAAGTGGCTGTGCTCTCAGTTTTCAGGCTAATACTTCTGTAACAGAGATGCCTGGAGTTGTGTCTGTGTTCCGCAGCAAAAAGATGAAGCTGCATACAACTCACAGCTGGGACTTCCTTGGATTGGATGTCATGAAGCCCAAAGGCATTTTGCAAGAATCTGGCTTCGGAGTGGACGTAATTGTTGGGGTTGTGGATTCAGGTGTTTGTTAAAGTTTCACATTCTAGTGTGCAGCAGATACCAAAATCTCGGAACTTTTCTGCAGGTGTATGGCCTGAAGCTGAGAGTTTCAATGACAAATCAATGCCAGCAGTTCCCACAAGATGGAAGGGAATATGTCAAATAGGCGAGAACTTCACGGCTTCAAACTGTAATAGGTTCGTTGTTGGGACCTCCGAGTGACTTGGAAGTATAGTCGTTTCATGTGTTTTAACGGTTGAATGCAGGAAACTTATAGGAGCTCGATATTTCGACCAAAGTGTGGATCCTAGCGTGGACGACTACAGATCACCCAGGGACAAAAACTCTCACGGCACGCATACATCGTCGACCGCTGTAGGCAGGCTTGTATATGGAGCCAGCGATGATGAATTTGGCAGTGGAATAGCTCGTGGTGGAGCACCAATGGCTAGGCTTGCAATGTACAAACTCTATGAAGAGAGTAGCAGCTTCGAAGCAGACATTATTTCTGCAATCGACTACGCAATTCATGACGGAGTCGACATCCTGTCCATTTCTGCAGGCGTGGACAATACGTACGACTACAACACGGATGGCATTGCAATTGCCGCATTTCATGCAGTCCAGAATGGGATTTTGGTTGTGGCAAGTGGTGGCAATTCGGGACCATATCCGTCCACAATCACGAACACTGCTCCCTGGATTCTGAGTGTGGGAGCAAGCACTATTGACCGGGGTTTCTATGCAAAGATCGTTCTTCCCGACAATGCTACCTCTTGCCAGGTTTGCAAAATGGCTGTATGAACCTTCATTTTTGAAGTTTTTGGACAGGCAACGCCATCACAGCACCGGACCGGTTCTGAAGTTGGATTGCATGGAATTGCCTCTGGGGAGGATGGGTATGCATACATTCGGACACTAGTATCTCTCTGATGAGGTGAATTCTGTGCAGCTATTGCACAGAAGCGAGATTAAATGGTACCACCCTGAGAGGGAAGTATGTCCTTTGCTTTGCTTCCAGCGCGGAGCTTCCCGTGGACCTAGATGCTATCGAAAAGGCTGGAGCCACCGGAATTATAATCACCGATACATTCGGATTGATATCGATAACAGGAAACTTGTCGCTCCCTATATTTGTAGTTCCCAGTGCATGCGGTGTTCAGCTCTTAGGTCACAGATCACATGAGAAGTAAGCCAGATCGATCTTGTTTATCTTCATCATTTGAACTTGGCTACCTCCAATTGCAGATCGTCAACGATCTATATCCATCCACCTGAAACTGTGACCGGGATTGGACCAGCCCCTGCTGTTGCAACCTTCTCAGCCAGGGGACCAAACCCAATTTCTCCTGATATTCTGAAGGTTTGTGAGTCATTTGGTTTTCAAATTCAAACATCTGATATATCACCGGCATTGCAGCCTGATATCATTGCTCCTGGCGTTGACATAATCGCTGCAATTCCTCCAAAAAGCCATTCAAGCAGCTCAGCAAAGAGTTTTGGAGCGATGAGTGGCACGTCCATGTCCTGTCCTCACGTTTCCGGTGTCGCGGCTTTGCTTAAATCCTTACATCCAGATTGGAGCCCCTCCGCAATCAAGTCAGCAATTATGACAACAGGTATTTGGGTTTCGCAAGTTCTGTCCTGAAGTATCACGCTTACAGCTTGGAACATGGACAACACAAGGGATATAATAACTGATAGTTACACACTAAGTTATTCCAACCCCTTCGGATATGGTGCCGGACACATCAATCCAACCAAAGCAGCAGATCCAGGCCTTGTTTACGTTACCACTCCTCAAGACTATGCTCTCTTCTGCTGCAGTCTGGGCAGCATTTGCAAGATTGAACACTCCAAATGCTCGTCTCAGACTCTAGCAGCCACTGAGCTGAACTATCCCTCGATAACAATCTCCAACCTGGTGGGAGCCAAAACAGTGAAAAGAGTTGTCACAAACGTAGGAACACCATACTCAAGTTACAGGGCAATTGTGGAAGAGCCGCATAGCGTCAAAGTTACAGTCAAACCAGACATTCTCCATTTCAACAGCTCTGGGACAAAACTGTTGTATGAGATCACGTTTGAGGCTGCTAAAATAGTTCGTTCGGTGGGACACTATGCTTTTGGCTCCATCACTTGGTCAGATGGCGTCCATTATGTACGGAGCCCCATTAGTGTCCAGGTAAACGATTTCATTCGTGCTTGACTGGGTGGAAAAATAAACGACGAAATAAATGAATCACCTATGGTATGAATATAAACCATAAGACTTGCCCCTTAGAAAGCGGCTTTGATTCCATTCAGTTTCAAAAGCAATTCAATCTGGGACGCCACCAAGCTGTGATCTTGCTCCATGCTGTAGAAACAGTACGCTGCTTGATCGATCAAGCCCGAGTGGCTGCAAGAGCTCAAGATACTGATGAAAGTCACTTGATTCGGCTCCACTCCTTGCTGCTGCATCCTCTGGAACAGCTCCATCGACTTGGAGCTCCGGCCGTGCTGGGCGTAAGCCGAGATCATGGCAGTCCACAAGACGATGTTCCTGGACTGCAAGCTCATTCTGTCGAAAACTCTCCTGGCCTCGTCCAGGCTCCCACACTTCGCGTACATGTGTACAAGAGCGTTGGCCACCATTGTCTCCGACTCGAGCTCTTGGTTTGGCGACACGAAATCCCGATGAGCGGCCTTGCACTGGCTGAGGCATGCCAGATCCGCGTAGGCATCCAGCACCTGCGCGATTGTGATCTTGTCCGGATGATCCATCTTCGAGAAGATCTCCAGAGCGTCTTGGATGTGGCCTGATCGTGCGTATCCCATGTTCATGGAGCTCCACACAACTGTATCTAGTTTGTCCGTCGCTAGTCCTTCGAAAGCGCTCCTCACAAGCCCGAGCCTCTGGGGGACTTGGAGTACGAGTTGATAACTGCTGCTACCACGACTGGATCAGATCCAAGCCCCAAACTGGTCGCTCGATCGTGAAGAAAGATCGTTTGTAGCAATGCATGCTCGCAACTGGCAGCACACGCAGTTAAATCAGTCGCGAACGTGAACGTATCAGCCTTACCACCTTCCAGATCCATCTTTTTCAGCACGAACAGAACTTCTTCGGGATGGCTGGTCTCGGCATAAGCCCATACCATGGCGTTCCAGAGCACCAAGTCGAATCTACAGAGTCGAAATCTCTCAAACACCTCCTCAGCTTCATTGATTCTCCTGTGACTTCCAAAGCATTTCACCAGTGCTGTAGCAACAACTAGATCGTCCCTGGTTGAAACATCTCCTCCAGTAGAACACAGAAACTCCATGGCTCTCGAGCTGATCGTGTTTATCATGCCTGTGCTAAACCCAGACTTTGAAGAGCTCGACAATCCCTGGAGAAGAGCAACCAATGTAAAGCTGCTTGCTCGAAAACCATGCTGTTCCATCCCCCGGAATGGCTTCCGTGATCTTTTGGTTCTGATCGAAGCAGAGGATCATCGCAGTCCACAGCCCTACGTCCTTATTCCCTGAGAAATTCTCAAACACAGCCACTGCTTTCTCTGGATTTCCGCAGCGACCGTAGCAGCGCACCAATGCAGTGGACATGGCAACGTCCCATTCGATCCCATCCCTCACTACACAAGCATGGATCTCTTCTCCATCGCCCAGATCGTCACAGCATGAAAGAAGCGTCGTGTAGGTGACTTTGATCGATGCGCTGCTGCTTGGAGTAGGCCTGGATCATCACAGTCCAGGAGAGAAAATTTCTCGCGGGCATGGATAAGAACAGCATCTCGGCCTCGTCGCCACGGCCGTGGCTCGCGAGCGCCGACACCATGGCGGTGATGGACACCACGTTGTGGGCCGGGAACGTCTGAAAGAAATCGAAGGCCTGATCGATCCGGGAGTTTTGGGTGTAGCCCTGGAGCATTGCCGTCCACGAAACTATGGTTTTCTTCTCGATCGGCATTGCGTCAAACACCGTCCTGGCTTCGTTCAGATGCCCGTTTCTGGCATATGCTGTTATCATCACGGTCCAGGTGATTTCACTCTTTTCTGGCACTCGATCAAACAATCGTTTGACTTCCTCCATCTCGCCAAGATTCGCATAGGCAGTGATCATTTCATTCCATGCGACTGGATCGGGGGAATGAGATCGATCAAAGAGGTTACACGCTTCATCTAGATGCCCGTTTCGGGCATATGCTTGGATCATAATGTTCCATGAGAAGAGATTGGGGTGATCGATCGCGGAGAAGACACGGTGCGCATCTCCGACACTGCCGCATTTTCCGTAAGCCTGGATGATGAGATTGAGGAGAAACTTGTCTTTGGAGTAGCCGCTGTCCACTATCCGGGAGTGGATCTTCCGGGTTTGATCGAGATCGCCAGAGCCTCCAGACTGGCTCAGGAGCGTCGCAAAGAAGGATTGCTGCGATCCCACGATGTTGCTCGATGCTTCCAACATCTAATGATCGCTATATATTAGTCGAGATCTCTCTCTCCTGATAAAATATGTTAATTCCCATTAACATCGTTTTATCCAATGCACTAACGGAACCATGGTTATCGACGTTAACTCTTGGCCACTCAGTGCACAACACTTGCATTCCTTTGACGTCTGTGCCAGCTTTTGTGTGAGTCTGTGCTCCTCGGCCTTTATCTACGGGAGCTTGGCCTTTGTTTTTCTCATTCTTTCTCTCCTGGTTTGGATCTATAGGCTCTCTTAGTATAGAAATGGCTCCTTCTCGCAAGCTTGTGCTCGCAACCCTGCTCTCATGCCTGCTCATCACTGCCGCTTTTGCTACTAGTGGAAACAAAGGTAGAGAGAGCACATATAGATCTCATTTCTCTGTTACCTTCCTCCACAATCTCGTTTCTCACTGTTTTGAGTTGGATTTACAGATGCAAGCTTGCCGGCTGCACAGGGCCAGGTTGAGAAATCTTCTTCTACGTTTCCTTTTCCTTTCCTGTTATAAAAAGTTCTCTCTCTTTCTTCCAGGCTCTCAAAGGCAGGAAGCTCCTTCGAGAGGTCCATACCAGCGACTATGACGCTCCAGGGGCAAACAGGAACCCACACTACGGCGCACCACCGCCCCTTGGAGAGATCAGCGACTATGGCGGTCCAGGCGCGAACATGAACCCACACTACGCACCCCCGCCGCTGATGGGATAGATCTTTGTTTCTGTGTGTTCTTCCATGTTTTCGTGTAGGAGCTATACCCTCTACACGGCTACCACGTTTGTTGTTTTCTTTTGTTTGCTGTTGAGTCACCTCTAGACATCCATGTTTCAGCAAAAAAGCCGATCGCTGGAAGAATCTTTGCTATGATCCTTGTGAGTTTTGAGCCAGCATATCAGCTATAGTGGCATTTCTACGATCTCACTCCTCTAGAGCGCTCAATAATTTCATGACACTTGTAATGTGATATGTATGTGCCAGATAATATTGCTGATAATTATTATCACGCGGGGATAGCCCAGTTGAGAGAGCGTCAGACTGAAGATCTTAAGGCCGCGTGTTCCATCTACGCTCACCGCATTAGAAGTTTGTGAAGTCCAATGGTTTTCAGAAATTGAAACGAACTTCATACCATATCGACAATGCAGCCAGCATACTTGTGGGCTCGAAAAGCTCCCAATGCGAAAAGCCCAGGGTCAACCTTCCGTTTTGACGGTTCAGCTGCTCACGAGAGAATGGTTGATGCTGGTAGATCAGCATCATAGGCGTTCGTGCCGGCTATCTAAAGGAATTTGTTGCCCAACATAAAGTTTTGTTTAATCGGTTTATGAAGAATTTTGGTAAGTCTTAGCTCGAGAGGTGGAGCTTGACCATCCGTGAAAAAGGAGATGTGGTTGGGCTTGATCCCTTCGAGGAGCTGGCGTCCTTGAATTCAATCTCCTGGAAGACGAGAGCTTGCATCGGGATTAGCTGCAAGAATGTGACGGAATTAGATCGAGAGGCATTTGCCGGGAGAACGCCAGAACTTACCCGTTTTGGGCAAATGCCGCAAAGAAAACATCTCCATCTTCCGTCTTGTGGAAGATTCCCAAGACGTATCCCCCGCGCCAGTACTTTCCATACATTTCCATGACGAGGTTCGTGAGGAAGCTATGACGATCGAGGCCGCAGGAGACAATTTTCTCGTCAATGCGCTTGCCCTCGCCCACAGATCTGTGTTTTTCTTACTTTCCATGCGACTAACTATCATGCATCGTAGAAGGTGGGAGCTTCAAGCTCTCGATTGCTCATCCCTGACCCTGGGAGCTCGAGGCTGGGTTGGCCGGATCGCTTTCTCCGCCAACTCAATCGCTCGGGGATTGAAATCCAGAATGGCGCCTCTGGCAAGGAGCTAATTGGGTAAGGATCATTTCCTAGACTCGCCATAGCTATGGCGGTGGGAGGCCATGGCAGATCGAGGCAGGTTTGCGATTCTTTAAGCATCCCATGGCATCATCCATGGAAAGCAACTGTCTTGGTGAGGATGGCATTGGCAGTGGGGCTTCTAACGCGTAGGAAACAGCGCGCCACAACATACATTCAAACAAAACTAAACGAGATGTGTTAAATAAAATATATTACAGCCTTTTTAATGGTTTACGTTTTCTTTGCATAAAAAGGCTTTATCCTATATTCGGATACGCGTATCTTATACCGCCGACTTTATGTGCTTTACGCGGGAGGGATCCACTTCCTTCCGCGTAGAAACCCATTCTGCTGCTAACATTGACATGCCTGCGGGAATGTGTAGGAACTGAGTTTTATCGTGGCTGTTGGCAAACGCAACAAGTGCGGAAATGTCCTATTGCTCACAGAAAGAAAAGGCATGAGCCCGGAACTGGAGGAATTGGGCGACAATGCTTGGTGTTTTTGCCGATGCTGGTGTTGTGAAAGAGGCCATATCCGGATTTGGCACCAGAGAAGAAATGCGTGTGTTGCAATGACGCATTTGCCTCGGTTGGGTATTCTGGATATTTGGAAGACGCCCTATGCCACATGGTCAACAATTTTGATACGAAGGTCGACATGATTCCTGCCGGTTTTCCACAGTTAACGTTTCTGTTCGGGTTGAGCTAGGTCCTCGCTCTGTGATGTTTACGTGCACGATCTCCCCTCCAGGAAAAACGCAAGCGTGTTGTGTTCTCATGAGGCAGTCGGCCGATCTGCCCATGATTATCACGGCCTCATATCTTTCTTTGAGGATAATATCACACTGAGATGTTTGTGTGTGAGAAGGATTCATACCTGCACTTCTCTGAAACGCAAGTAAAAACAAAAAAAAAAAGAGATATGACACAAATGTGAGCTTTGATCAGCTTTTTTTTCCTGTAGAACCTTATCCTTGGCAATTTCTTTCTCGAGCCTCATCCAGAAATATATTCTCCACAAAGCCTCTCTCCCCGATCATTGCAAGTACATCTTGAAGAGGATCTCTAGAATCCAAGCATGGCCTTGTGTCTTTGATGATTCGATCAAGCTGCGCAAGTTTCAATTTTTATTTTTTTATTTTTTTCCTATTTCCTTGTAAAATTCAGCATCTCTGCAGACAGAAAAACACTCGATCAGGAAAGATTGATGGCATCGAATTGATCACAAGGATGCTAGACAGATCCATCGCCAAGTCCTGGATTTTTGCCCGTTACGAGGGGCACAAGGATAGAAACTAACGTTTAGGAGCTTTGCACCACTGCATCTCGTTTGTCCATCCAAGGCCGAGCCTCTGAGGCTTGGAGTACCACAACTGGATCCAAACTGGCCGCTCGATCATGGAGTTCGTTCGTTTGAAGCAGCGCATGCTGGCAACTGGTAGCACACGCAGTTAGAACGCGGCAAGCCCAAACCATGGCGTTCCAAAACACCAAGTCGAAGCTATAGAGCAAACACCTCCTCATTCTCCCTTGACTTCCAAAGAACAACTAATTGACAAGATCGTCCCTGAGAGCACAGAAACTCCATGCTGATGGTGTTGATCATGCCTGTGCTTATGCCGAACATGACACTGCCTGGGATTTCCACAGCGACCAATGACGACGTCCCATTTGATTCCATCCCTCGCGAGACAAGCATGAATACTCAGCAGTGTACGTAAATCTGTCAAGGCATCCTCTAGTAAGTCGCAAATGCCTCTTTGCATAGCCCGCACTTCGTTCATCGCGGTCAAAGCCACCAGATCTCTCTGCCCAAACTTCTTGTAACTCAATCGAGCCTCCTGAAGCGATCCATACATTCTCAGAAGCTCTATAGTAATCTGCAAAGCCCGACTCCTCGAGGAACGATCGAGCAAGGTTGCCCTGCCCCAGCATCAAACAAGACCTCACCCAAAGATTTCCTGGGCCGGCAAAGATCACCACGAAACCAATGCAAATGCAAATGCAAATGCAAAGCACATCTACATTGAATCCCTCCCCGCTCGCGATCAAGGAGACGTTCCGCCTGACGCACGATTTCTGGTGACCACGAGTGGCGGCCATGGAATCGCAGCTGCGGGTTCACTAGCTTACCGTCAACCAAGTGCGATAGATTTGGCGCTAGCAGATATGGTTTTCTGTTCTAGAACTGTTCTTCCAATATTTGCACTTCTACTTAGCATTGTGCTTCTTTCTCATGCACGAGCAACGCCAAAGTCGACCACCGTCTTCACCTTTGCATTCGGCGGCAACCGCGACATTGAAGCCATATATCCGTATGTTATAGGAAGCCCACGGGATGGGCATGTCATCCCCGACCTCCTGCTCCAGAAGCTCCGGCTCATTGGAACTCTGCCTCAAGTTTAATGGCGCACGCGATCGATGCACTGAGCGCCTGGATTTCAGGCAGAGAGAAGAGATTCGATTGCTCAGCTGCGGCGTCGAGCGGGTCCAAGCGATGATGGTCTCTGAGAGACATCCTGATAACGGCAACTGTATTATGGCCCGGGAACATCTGGAGGGCCTGACCGATCCGGGAGTTTTTGGTGTAGCCCTGGAGCATCGCCGTCCACGATGCCATCGGCATTGCGTCAAACACCGCCCTGTCTTAGTCCAGATGCCCGTTTTGGGCAACTGTTGTTACCATCTTTTCCGGCATTTGATCAAAGAAAAGTTTTTCTAGCCAGGCTGCACATAGGCAGTTATTATCTCATTTCACGTGACTAGATCGAGAGAATGAGATTGATCAAAAACGTTACGCTCTTTATCAAGATGCCCAATTAGGGCATATGCTTGAATCAGATTGGGGCGATCGATTGCAGAGACACATCGCCGACACTGCCACATTTGCCATAATACTGGATGCAAAAATTGTGGAGGAGTAGCCGCTGTCCACTATCCGGGAGTAGATCCTCTGGGTTTGATTGGAGCAGTGGAATGTAATGCTCTCGGCAAGTGCCCAAAACGGGCAATTTGCGATTTCTCTGGCGATACTTGGGTGTTCCTCATACTTCGTGGAAGTTTTTATATCATCGTTCCTAGCAAGATCACTACATAGAA